TAAGAAGGCAGATTGTAGGTGCTCTCACAACAAAAATGCTGACTATGAGAGGCAATGACTATGTCAGTTCACTAGTTTTAGCCATTCCACAATGAATACACGTTTCAAAACACCATGTTGTACATGATAACATATAATTTTTTGTAAATTAGGAAAAATAAAATACAAAATAAATGTGGTTCCTGCTGTGAAGGATGCAGTTTCAGTACATGTTTAGTTTAAGCTTGTTCATTGTTTTCATTTTAATTTTTCACTTTTATATATCTGTTTTAGAGAAAGGTGCTAGATTCTCTCAGGTAATAGAGGATTTATCATTTTCTTTCCTTACAGTTTTGTTTGTTTCTATATTGTGTTTCTTAAGGTGTTTTAATGAGTGCATTCATGTTGAGATCACTTACTTTTCCTGGTGAATTAATAATGTTGTCGTTATGTAATTATTCTTTCTTGAAGAGTTAGACTGCACCCCTTAAAGTCTATGTAAAGGTGATATCAAGTACTTTACTAGTGCATATTGTTTTCTCCGTCACCTTTCACTGTGTTTTCTTACGCTTTCGATATGTGTCTTGTAAACAGCATTGAATTTTACAATTACAAAATTTAATCCCGTAGTTTCTTAACCAGAGTACTTAGCCCCCATTTTTTATTGTAATGAGTTATTTATGTGTATCTACTCTACTATTTTATTTTTCATTTTCTATCAACCCTGTTTTACCTCTCTGTGATTTTCTCCTATGTAGGCAGTGTCTGTAGAAATACTTTTCAGTTGACCAAGTATGTGCTTAGAAGCCACCTAGAGTCTGGAATCCCAGATTACTTTCTTGTTAACCCTTCAAGTTTTCATAACGTGTGTGGCTTCTCTGCAGCTAAGTTTTATGGCCTGCTATATGTGAATGTGGTTATCTATTTCACAGGGTAGTTATGAGTATCAGATAAAGCACATTTTGAAAATTGGCCAGGAAAATTCCAGTCCCATGGTAGGTGCCCCGTAATCTGTTTCCCCTTCCAGGTCATCTTTGGTGGCTGGGGCAGCACAGCTGCAGAACAGGCAGAAAACACCTGTTGTGCCTGTTTTGGCTGAACAAACAATTCTGTTCTGCATAGGCCATGCTCTTGCCAATAACAATGGTAAGTATTGTATGAGTGCTGCACATGTCACGTTCTTGTTTAATGATTGCAACACCCCGAGAGATCCTTTTATTTTCACCAATATTTCCCTTCCCAAAGACCTCTTCTGCAAGAAACTTCAGGATTTTATGTTTTGTTTCCATCATGAAGTTCAGGCCCTCATGACGATTTAGCAACCTCCTGCAGCCTGATTTCCCATATCTAAAGTCACAGGTTGTCTGGGAGCTGGAGAAGAGGGCTTGGTATGCTGGTGTGGCTCCTGGAAGCCACAGGCATGGCTCACGCACATGCCTGCTGAGTGGGTGATTACCTGCCAAGGACCTTTTGACTTGAACCTGCCTTGGCATCATAATACTTCCCTAGGAGGTGAAGAGTCAATGGCCCTGCATTAAGATCGCTGTTTTTCTTCTGCTGGCTTATGGTTAACACTTTTCTTTAGCCAGTGAACTGATAAGTGGAGAAAGTACAGCACTTCTGTTTGCCTCCTTCAGACCAACCGGAGCCCCTGACGTGTATGGAAATGGAAGAGGCTATTACCTGCCACCTCTAAGATTTATTGATCACCTGTACTCCTGTTATCAGAGCCAACGTGTCTTTCAGCTTTTGGCAAAAGGCATGAGATAACACGTGAGGATTTGCGCAAGCAATATAATTTGCTTGCAGTTGTTCTTCTGAGCAGTAATTTTTCCAATCATATCTCCTCTCTGGGATTAAAAAATGAAATAGCTATGAACTGATTTGTCTGATGTCAGCAGAGAAAGTATAAAACTGGTAACTATTCTGCAGATATAAGAAAGAAATCACAGCAGCCCAATAAATTCTGTGGTTCATTATTTGTTATTCATCGCATAAAAAACAGAAATGAGAAGACCTGACCTTTCCAGGGCAGCAGCTCTGCTCTGACAATATAGTCAATAGTAACAGCTAATAGTGTGCAATTTCAGATCTGCCATATAATGATGCATTTGTAAACACATTTTTTTTTCACAGAGCAATGTGAGTAGCAATCTACTGGCAGCAGGTATAAACACAAAATATCTCCTTCCTGCTGGGTTGTTATCCCCTCTCCTATAATTAGAATTCATGGGAGATTCATCCAGGAAGACATGAGGCCCAGGGTTGGAGGAGGCAGCAGAAGGAAGGTGGTTGCAGTGGAGATCCAGGCCTTGCATGTTTTCTGCACTGAGGCCTTTTAACAACTAAAAGTCTATGGTTTCAAAAACCTTACGTTGACTGTTGGAGAGCAGTGTCTATGTTTGTGATGAAGGACATGCAAAAAATATGTGTATTTTGAAAGAAAGGGGCAACTTGGTGAAACCCCATCTCTACTAAAAATACAAAAATTTATCTGGGCATGGTGGCGCATGCCTGTAATCCCAGCTACTCAGGAGGCTGAGGCAGGAGAATTGCCTGAACCCAGGAGGCGGAGGTTGCGGTGAGCCGAGATCGCGCCATTGCACTCCAGCCTGGGTAACAAGAGCGAAACTCCGTCTAAAAAAAAAAAAAAAGAGAAATAAAGTGTGTAGCCAGATTCACTTTCAAGTCCAAGATCTTATAGACTATTCAAACTGCCTCCTACTTACCCTACTTTTCAGTAGTTCCTTGCTGACCCCTTTGTCGATGTCCACATGCACATGAAAATCCTCTCATAAAAAATAAAATACCTATTTGTGTCATTTTAGAGGTGTGTTATAGGCTCACTCCTTTCTCCATGGATATAAGCTGGCAGTCCCTATTCTGATACCTGCACATCTGGTACTTCACCAGGAAACCTGCCAAAACCATCAAAAATACTTAACACAGGGTTTAGGCCAACTGTGTGCTATCAATTCAGAGAGTAAAAACGGAAAAGTGGAAGGAAAGGAATGGTGCAAATTGCATCAGACATTTAACTGCTCTTCCTCCGTACGTCCACACTCATGCCCGCAGACACACACACGCAGACACACACACACACACACACACATGCACGTGCAACTCACTAGAAGCTTCCAAATTAAATAACATCATAGCACAACTGCAGTCTTGACCTTCTGGGCTCAAGTGATCCTCCTGCCTCAGCCTCCTGAGTAGCTGAGACTACAGGCATGTGCCATGATGCCTATCAAATTTTTTATTTTTCATGTAGAAATGGAGTCTCGTTATGTTGCCCAGGCTTGTCTCAAACTCCTGCACTCAAGAGATCCTCCCACCTCAGTCTCACACTGAGCATGGCAACCCTGTAATGGGAGAGAGAGGAGGCCAGAAGCCGTGTCACAGTGGCTTTTCCTGCCCAAATGAGGAGCTTGATCTCTAGACCACAGTGGAGGCAGCTCCTCAAAGGCTTCCGGCTTTCCTGACTTTCTGACTCTCCCAGGAATCCCCTCCAGTTACTCACAGTGATGATCTGATTGACTACCTTCCTTTCCTGTCTCCCTTTTCCACTACTGATTTCTCCAAGATAAAGCACTTATACCTAATGTTTTCCTTAGTTTGAACTTTGGGGAACATAATCTCTAATAGGGTAGAGAAGGCTGTAAGAGTGCTTTATGAATTATATTCAGGAAAAAGAATCATCAGGCCATAGCTGGTGGTTGGATTCATAAAGCAGGGTAAAGGGCAAGGACTAAGATGAATTCTAGGCTTCTCATTAGAATAACTTGGTGAATGTCGTTGCCCTATGGAACGAAGGACAAAGAGCAAGGTTGAAAAGGAAATTAGGAATATACATTTGAAATGTGGGATTTCAGGAGCCCTGGAGGCAATCAGAATGGATATTCCTAAATAGGCTTCAAGGACCAAGGCTTAGAAGGAATTCCGAACTAAAGAGAGAGATTCGTGAGTCATTAATGTGAAGCTGAAGTCGTGGAAGAAGAAGAGGTTTCAAGGTGAAAGAAGAGAAAGCGCCTGAAGAGAGAACCGTAAGTTATTCCACTGTTTAAGGGGGAGAAAGCAGAGTCATGTAAATTAGAAGGAGAACAAACGCCAGTAACGTCAAATAACTGGGGCATAATTACGTCATGGAGAAGAGTGAACGTCCAGAGGCAAGGAGAAGACAAGGGCAGAGTATATGCTTGATGGTCAGCTAAGACAGGAAAGAATTTGGGGCCTGAGGTGGACAAAGGAGGATTTTGCTAGGGCGATCTTACTGGAGTGAATGGGCAGAAGTGAAGACTAAGCTGAAGATGGAGAAGCAGAGGCAGGGTTTATGCAGCAGAGATAGTCAGATGTTTAAGGACCGCTAGGACAGTGCAGAAAATCTGTATCGATAGATATTGGCAGTGGTCTGATGCAGGAAGGGCTCTTCAGACCAGACAGGGTCACAGGTGTTCTTTCCAGTGGCTGGATCATGGCACAATCCAGTCTTGGAGGAGTGTCATAATGGAAGGGAGCTAGGGGAGCTTGAGGTGGCAGCTGTTTACCAAGAGAATCACACCAAATCTTACTCTCTTCCATTCCTGCGTGCCCTTGCAGTCTACATGCAGATCTTATACAGGTTCAAAGCAATTTCCATCAAGCAGTTGCAGAAATTCCCCAGGGCAGTGAGCTGTTCCATTGTGAGGTATGGCTGCTGTGCAGTGGACACTCACAGAAGGTGGGGGTGGAAGGCATACAGGGTGGGGGCAGGGGGGGTGGAAGGCATACAGGGTGGGGGCAGGGGGGGTGGAAGGCATACAGGGTGGGGGCAGGGGGGGTGGAAGGCATACAGGGTGGGGGCAGGGGGGCCATGGGGTCTACTGTGAAGGTAAGAAAGAGAAAGGAAATATAGGATGCATAATTACAACTGGAAGAGAGATGATGATTAAAATTAGTTCGGTGCTGATGTGAAATCAGACCCCTTCAAATCAGGGTGTCTATGTACAATGCACTGCGTATGCCCTGCCAAGGAGGACTGAGAGAGAATTGGATACTCTCTCCTGGGTTGATGCCTGAGGAATTATTCTGCTCTTTTTCAGGAAATACAGAAGATATTTCACAGCGTGCCTTCTCCTGCTGTATGCCCTCCATTGCAGAGAAATGTATGTACCTAAACTTGTGGCCAGCTGTCTACTTTTCTGGCTAAACCTAATCCTCCGTGATGAAGTTAGTAAACGCAGGCTCCTCAGTTCATCATTGTTAGCAAGGTTTCTGGAGTAACCGGGAAGGGTCAGCCTCTAGGTGTGCTATGATGAGCAAATTCAGAGGTGTGCCACAGCATGTCGTAGTGTCCATGTGTGTGATGCTGAGCAGGTTCTCAGGACTTTGGTGTGTGTGTATGTTCCCAGATGTCCTATGGTGCTCGGATTTTCAGGTGTAGAGGGGCTCAGCTGTGCATGTTTCCAGGTGTGTAAGTTCCCAGTTGTGATATGGCTTCCGGTTCCTAGGTCTTCAGATTCCCAAGTGATCAGGTTCCTGGGTATGCTATGTGGTACCAATGACGAAGCATATGATATTGTGGTCCCAGGTGTGCGTAATCCCAGGTGTGCAAGTTCGCAGGTGTGGTCTAGCCTGCGGAGTCCTATGTGTTATTTTGTGCAGGCGTCTAGTGTGGTATGGTTTTTCTCCTCAAGTCAGGTCGAGTCTTGGCTGGAAATTCAACTCTCAGGTAGCATAGTGAGTATGGAGCAGTTTGTCTACACCCAAAGTTTACAGACACGTATTGAGGAAAATGGTGATTCACAGCAAGTGTTTAGGTGCTTAGATTGCGGGGAGTCACTTTAAAATTCACTTGTCCTTTAGGGAAATGGATTGAGCAGCTGCCACGCTTTTTTCTGAGAGGAGGCTTTGTGCCCTTATATAGAAGCACTGGCATTTTTCCATCTCGTGGCCACATTTAGCAACAATATTAATTTCAGCTTCTCAGTGTTGCAGCTGTGAACAACTAAAAAAGGTCATTTTTCTATACTTGAAATATAGAACACATATTAATTTTCCAGTAGATTAACCTAATGATCAAAACTGGAAAGGAAAAGAAAAGAAAATGTTTCATTGGAGACAAGGGAGGGGAGACAGCCATCTCTTTACCTTGCATCTACCTATTTGACACAGGTTTGGTTTTGCTTTTGTTTACTTTCTTCCTGCAGAAGTCCTGGGCTCCGGGTCCTCAGCTGAAAGCCATATTCACATTGTGTACTGCCATGTGGTTTGATTCAGAATAAGCATCCGAGGGTCTGCCTATGGCGGTCAGGGGAGGGGCTGCAGAGCACACTTTTGTTAGGAGGAGAGAGACCTGGGCTTCAAAAGCAGAGATTTTAGGCAGTATATCCCTAAAGGTGTTGCTACCACTAATTGTCACGTTTGCCCTGAAATCTCTAGAGTCCTTCTTCTTTTTTTTTTTTTAAGACAGTCTCGCTCTTGTTACCCAGGCTGGAGTGCAATGGCGCCATCTCAGCTCACCGCAACCTCCGCCTCCTGGGTTCAGGCAATTCTCTTGCCTCAGCCTCCTGAGTAGCTGGGATTACAGGCACGCATCACCATGCCCAGCTAATTTTTTATATTTTTAGTAGAGACGGGGTTTCACCATGTTTACCAGGATAGTCTCGATCTCTTGACCTCGTGATCCACCCGCCTCGGCCTCCCAAAGTGCTGGGATTACAGGCTTGAGCCACCGCGCCCGGCCTAGGGTCCTTCTTTTCTTTTTTAGTTAGAAAACAAAGATCTGGGCAACCTGAAATACTTGCCACACTTTTGCTGACCGTTCCCACTTCAGTAGCTCCCTTCTTTGATTTTCTAGGATTCTCACAACACAAACAGGTCTACTCATTGCTGTTTCGAGAACGTCATTTAAACGGTGATAAAGTTATATAAGCCTTTTGATCACATCTATGGCCAAATATTCTTTTTTAATTCAATTGAATAATCTTGTCACTTGGTAATCTTGTTGCTCATTAAGGGTTGAAAATACTTGAGGACCACATTAGCTGCGGCAGATTAAAATAAACACCGATAAAGGAATGCAAAAAGTGACATAGTAGAGTGTGTATGGAAAGTCAGTGTTATGAATTAGATCTTGATCATGATATTGAAAAGGAAGTAAAAAACAAAAAACAGCAGTGGTTTTGAAAACCAGCAGAGAGTCATGTGAAGGAGGACAGTATCTTACTCTCCTTTAAAATGCTTTCTTGCCCTCGTCTCTTTGAAATACTTCTTTTATTCATTTTGTTTTAACCTACAACGTGACTGGCATGTGGCTGAGATCGTGATAAGTTAGCTCTGACCGTAAAACCATGCAGGGGAATGCCAGTATTCTGCCCGCAGAAAATGTGATGCAGTTTATCTGATTCTTTCTGAAGATTAGAGAGAGAATAGAAGGAAAACACTTTGTACCAAAACCCAAAATTATGGGCAATCATTGGATTATTTATATGTTCCCTCTTTCGTGTGCAGACATTTTGTGTGTTTCTTCTTCATTCTAGCTTTCTAAAAATACCTCCTGCATTTTCTCTCTTCTATTTTCCCCCAAATGCTGGCTTTACAAACTATTTTCCTCAATAATGTTGCCACATTTATTACTACAATCTACATAATGTCTAACTTTTTGTAACTAAGATGTGCATATTCCCTTACATTTATGACTATTTTCCACAAAGAAAATGAGGTTCAAGCACTGAAGCTCCGTTCTTTAAGATTGCAGGGAAGGCTGCCTTTGCATACGAACTTCCCTCGTAGCTGCTTTCTTTGTATTTTTTCAGTGTTGATAAAAAGTCCTGCTGGAATTTTAGTCAAAATTACATTAATCTTGTTGATCATTTTTGGGTAGAACTGACATCTTAACCTTATTGAGTCATCCAAACTACGTATGTGAAATATTTTATTTAGGACTTAAATTTCTCTCAGCAATGTTTTGTCGTTTTCAGTGTTTGGACCTTTTGTATCTTTGTCAAATTCATTGCTTAGCATTTTTTAATGCTATTGTACATGGAATTTTATTTATTTCAATTTCCATTTGTTTGTTACAAGTACAGTTGTTTCCTGGTATAAGCAGGAGATTGGTTCCAGGTTGCTCCCCAATACCAAAATCCATGTACTCTCAAGTCCTACAGTCAGCCCTTTGGAAGCCATGGATACAAAAAATCAGCCTTTCACCTACTGGGTTTCCCACCCTGTGAATACTGTATTCCGGATCCGAGTCTAACTGAAAAGATATTCGGGATATAAATGAACCTGCAGAGTCCATATCCGTGTTGCTTAAATGTCAGCTGCATATAGAAATACAATAGATTTTGATAGTAATTTTATACACTGAAACTTGGTAAACTCACTTATTAGATCTAGTGTAATATCTTCTTTTATAGTCTATCAGATTTCTTTTATGGATGATCTTGTAATCTACAATCTAAGATAGTTTTACTTCTACTTTTCTAAGGAGATGACCTTTATTTCTTTTTCTTGCCTGATTGCACTCTCTAGGATCTCCGTATAATGCTAAGTAGAAGTTCTGAAAGAAAATATTCTTGTCTAATTCTGATATTAGGGGTAAATCAATTAGTCTTTCACCATTAACTGTAATGATACTTTCAAGTTTTTTCGTAAATGACCCAATCCGTTTGAGAAAGTTTTCTTTTATGCTTTTTCTGCTTTGCTGAGAGCCTTTTCCAAAAATGGATGTTGAATTTTTGTTAGATACTTTTATGCATTTATTGAAATGATCATGTTTATTTTTAGTTTTTAAATTTTTTAAATATATTGAATTACATTGATAGATTTCTGAAGAGTAAACCATGTTTTCATTGCTATAGTGAGCCACATTTAGCCATAATGTATTTTCTTTTTATATATTGTTGGACCAATTAGCTAAATTTTCTTAAGGATTTTAGCATTTACGTTTATGGGGGATATTAGACTACAATTTTCTTATCTGGTAATGCCTGTTTTTCTGGCTTTGGTATCAAGTTTCTGGTTTCTGGCCCTACCAAAGGGATTGGAAAGAATTCCCTCCACTTTATTGTTCTTGAATAGTTCAAATAGAATATATTCTTCTATTTGATGCATAGATATTTAGGATTGTGAGGTCTTTTGAGTAATTTACTGCATTATGTTTATAGACATATCTTCCTTATTCCTGGTAATGTACTTTAATTTTAAATCCCTGTTTGGTGTCAATACAGTCTATCAGATCTCTTTTTGACTAGGGTTAGCATGATTATACCTTCTCCCATGCTCTTCCTTTTAACTAATTTTTCTGTATTTTTAAAGTAAATTTCTTGTAGGCAACACACAGTTTGGTCTTGCTTTTTAAATCCAGTTTGGCAATCCTTTTCAACTGAAATATTTAGAACATTTATATTTCAATGTGACTACTGATTTATGCAATTATATCATCATAATTATTTATAATCTATCCTGTTTGTTTTTGTTACTGTTCTCTCTTTTCTTGTTTCTTTTGGAGTAATGGAGTGTGTTTTGTAATTCCATGGTATTGCCTTATTTGGCTTATTACTGGCTTATTTTAGTGTTTGCAGTATGTCTGAATAGGTCTTGCTTTTCACTGTTTTTCATTTTTTTTCTCTCTCTATAGAGTTCTAGGTTGACAGACTTTTTTCTTTCAATACTTTAAATACATTGCTCCATTCTCACTTGCACTGTTTCCCATGAGAATCTTCTATTAACTTTACTCCTCTCTGTACATTGTGTATTGTTGTCTCTGTCTGGTTTAACAGTTTCCCTGTTCATTTTAATCTTTTTAAATGGTCCTTTCTCAGCATCAGATGCTTTTGGTCACACAAATGCACTGATCAGTACTCTGCTAAAAACTTGAGAGGAACCCTCTGCAAAGATCCAGCTCTCTCTCCATTAATCTCACTCTCTCTGTCTCTCTCTCCAGGTCTCTCATCTCCAGCATGCAGTCCTGTGAATTCTAGTCAGCTTGGTCTGCCCAAAGCTTTTTCTCTGTCACCTCAAGTCACAGAACCACAACATTTTGCCTAATTTCCTCTTCTCTGTGCTGTTCCCTGAAAACTTTTGAAGGCAAAAAGCTGTGGTGGTTATAGGGCTAACCTCAGTTGTTTCCGTTATATCAGGGATCACTGTCTTTAATGGC